TGAAACTCCATCTCTACTAAAAATACAAAAATTAGCCAGGCATGGTGGTGTGCGCCTGTAATCCCAGCTACTCAGGAGGCTGAGGCAGGAGAATAGCTTGAACCTGGGAGTCAGAGGTTGCAGTGGGCCAAGATCACACCATTGTACTCCAGCCTGGGAAACAGACCAAGACTCCATCTCAAGAATAAAAAATGTTTTTAAAAAAGAGATCTGGGCCCCAGCCTCAGTAGGGTCTCTCTTCGCTCCCCTGCCCACTCTAGTTTTGCTTGGACATCCTCTATTGCCATGCATGGATCCCATTTCAGCACCTCCTTCTTTCCCTATCTGTGGATGTGGCTCAGTCAGTCTTTCGTAGGGGTCGGTCCTGCCCTTCCTTTCCTTTTTCCCTTTCATTTGGATATAATTTCATAGTCTCCAGGAAGTTTCAAGAATGGTGCGCAAAAAAAGAGAACACTCATAATCCCTTTACCCAGATTCTCCAATCGTCACCATTTTGCCATATTTACTTTCTCCCTGTAGATGTAGACGTATAGATAGATATAGATACAATGATTTTTTCTTAATTATTTGTGATGAGTTTGCAGACATTATGCCTCTTCACTCTTCAATGGGTCAGTGTGTTTCCTAAGAGCAAGGACTTTTTCTTACATAATCACACTACATTTTTTTTTTTTTTAGACAGAGTCTCTCTCTGTCGCCCAGGCCAGACTACAGTGGTGCAATCTCAGCTCACTGCAACCTTTGCCTCCCTGGTTCAAGCGATTCTCCTGCCTCAGCCTCCTGGGCAGCCTCCCGTAGCCGGGATTACAGGTGCCCACCACAACACCTGGCTAATTTTTGTAGTTTTAGTAGAGACGGTGTTTCGACATGTTGTCCAGGCTTGCCTTGAATTCCAGACCTCAGGTGATCCACCCACCTCCTCAGCCTCCCAGTGTTAAGATTACAGGCGTGAGCCACTGCACCTGGCCGCAGTACACTTTTTCACATTGGTGAATGCGACATTGACACAGCACTGTTATTTATTTTAGAGACAGGATCTGGCTCTGTTGCCCAGGCTGGAGTGCAGTGGTACAACCATAGCTCCCTATAGCCTTGAACTCCTGGTCTCAAGTGATCCTCCTGCCTTGGATTCCCAAAGTGCTGGGATTACAGGTATGAGGCACCATGCCCGGCCAGATGCAGCACTATTATTTAATTCACAGTTCATATTTACATTTTGCCAATTGTCCCAATAATGTCATTTATGGCTAGTTCTCTGCATCATCCCTGCCATCCCCAGCCAGGGTTGAATATAGCATTGTGTTTTCCGTTAAGTTGTGGTGTCTCTTCAGTCTCCTTTAACCTGCTTCCTTTGTCTTTTATGATCTTAACTTTTTATTTTTTGGAGAGTACAGACAGGAAAGTTATTGGGTAGAATGTCCCCTAATTTACATTTATGTTCCCTCCTAATTATATTTGGATTATACATTTTTGTCAAGAATACTACGGAGGTGGTGTTTATTAATTCCATATTGTGGCTGTAACAGATGACCACAAATTTAGTGGCTTAGAACACCACCAGGTTGTTAGCTTACAGTTTGGGAAGTCAGAAGCCCAAAATGGGTTTCACTGGGCTAAAATCAGCGTGTGTCAGCAGAACTGCATTCCTTCTGGAGGCTCAGGGGAAGAACTCCTTTCCTTGCCTTTTAGAGAGAGTTCATGTTCCTGGGTACATGGCCCCTTCTCCAGCTCCAAAGACGGCACGGTAGCATCCCCAATCTTTCTCCAAGACTTCTGCTTTTTTCCTTTTTTTGAGACAGAGTCTTGCTCTGTTGCCCAGGATACAGTGCAGTGGTGTGACCTTGGCTCACTGGAACCTCTGCCTCCTGGGTTCAAGCGATTCTCCTCTCTCAGCCTCCCCAGTAGCTGGGACAACAGGTGCCCGCCACCGCACCCAGCTGATTTTTGTCTTTTTAGTAGAGACAGGGTTTCACCATCTTGGCCAGGCTGGTCTCGAACTCCTGACTTTGTGATCCACCTGCCTTCGCCTCCCAAAGTGCTGGGATTACAGGTGTAAGCCACCACACCTGGTCAAGACTTCTGCCTTTTTCTTCCAACTTAAAAAAAAAAAAATATATATATATATATATATATATATATATATATATATATATATATATATTTGCACTTTAGGTTCTGGGGTACATGTGCAGAATATGCAGGATTGTTACATAGGTACATACATGGCAATGTGATTTGCTGCCTCCATCCCCCCGTCACCTATTTCTGGCATTTCTTCCCATGTTATCCCTCCCCAACCTCCCTACCTCCCGCTGTCCCTCCCCTATTCCCCCCCAACAGACCCCAGTGTGCGATGCTCCCCTCCCTGTGTCCACATGTTCTCATTGTTCAATACCTGCCTATTAGTGAGAACATGCGGTGTTTGATTTTCTGTTCTTGTGTCAGTTTGCTGAGAATGATGGTTTCCAGATTCATCCATGTCCCTACAAAGGACACAAACTCATCATTTTTTATGGCTGCATAGTATTCCATGGTACATATGTGCCACATTTTCCTTGTCCAGTCTATCATCGATGGGCATTTGGGTTGGTTCCAGGTCTTTGCTATTGTAAACAGTGCTGCAACGAACATACATGTGCATGTGTCTTTATAATGTAGTTTTAGTAGAGACGGTGTTTCGACATGTTGAAATGATATATGATTCTTTGGGTATATACTCAGTAATGGGATTCCTGGGTCAAATGGAATTTCTATTTCCAGGTCCTTGAGGAGTCGTCACACTGTCTTCCACAATGGTTTAACTAATTTACATTCCCACCATCACCCAGCTTCTTCCAACTTTCAAGGACCTTGTGATTATATTGGGTTCACCCAGAAGATCTGGAGTAATCTCCCTATATTAAGATACTTAATGTAATCAGATCTGCAAAGTCTCCTTTGGCATATAAAATCCCCAGGTTTGGCCGGGCGCGGTGGCTCACGCCTGTAATCCCAGCACTTTGGGAGGCCGAGGCGGGTGGATCACGAGGTCAAGAGATCGAGACCATCCTGGTCAACATGGTGAAACCCCGTCTCTACTAAAACTACAAAACATTAGCTGGGCATGGTGGCGCGTGCCTGTAATCCCAGCTACGCAGGAGGCTGAGGCAGGAGAATTGCCTGAACCCAGGAGGCGGAGGTTGCGGTGAGCCGAGATCCCGCCATTGCACTCCAGCCTGGGTAACATGAGTGAAACTCCGTCTCAAAAAAAAAAATAAATAAAAATAAATAAATAAATAAATAAAATAAAATAAAATAAAATAAAATCCCCAGGTTCTGGGTAGTAGGATGTGCACATCGTTGAGGGTCATTATTCTGTCTTCCAGGTAATGTTGGTCCTCCTCTGGGAGCTCCTAACATCCAGTTTTTGGTGATGATAACTTTGATTATTGGCTACGGCTCTACAGCAGGGTCAATCCACTGAGACCCGTATTGACTTTTGCAATTAACAGTAATTTGTGAGGGCAGTACTTTGAAACTATGTGAATATCCTGTCCATGCTCCCTACCTGGTTTAGCTTCTGTTGACGAGTCTCTGTAAGCCACTTATTACTGAGAATCTTGAAAATGTTGATTTTCCATTTCCATATTTTCTTTTTCTTTCTTTCCTTCTTTCTTTGCTTCCTTTCTTCCCTCCTTCCTTTTCTTTTCCTTCTCTTCTCTTTTTTCTTTGCTTTCACAGACTCTTGCTCTTTCACCCAGGCTGGCATGAGGTGGCACAATCTTGGTTCACTGCAACCTCTGCCTCCTAGATTTCAACAATTCTCCTGCCTCAGCCTCCCAAGTAACTGGGATTACAGAAACGTGCCACCATGCCTGGCTAGTTTTTGTATTTTTAGTAGAGATTGGGTTTTGCCATGTTGGCCAAGCTGGTCTCGAACTCCTGACCTCGGATGATCCATCCGCCTCAGACTCCAAAAGTGCCTCACAGGCATGAGCCAGTGTGCCCAGCCTAGAGAGTGTTTTTAAAATATTTGCATAAATGCCAGGGTGCAGTAAACTTTGTTCTGCATTTACCTGCACGTTCCAGGCCCTCTGATGGTGTGTGGAAGGCCCCACAGTGTTTCCCTCACCCATTTCCCTCTCAGGAGCTCATCTATGACCACGGCCTTGGCAATGCCACCATCAGCCTCCTCTTCCATCTCACCTTGTGGATCTGCTGGAGGATTTCTTGTGGGTACTTCATTTCATCTGTTACCTGGGCTTGATTTCCAGAACAACTGTCCAGGTGACTGGGTTGTGGGTGAGTTCTCTCAGAGGCTCTTCCTGGCTGTGGGAGTGCCTTGGCCTCTCCAGGACTCAGAATCCGACCCCCTCACCCCCCACAGGCCACTGCCCTGGTCCTTATTCACACACCTGGCACAGAGGGGAGTGGGTGACTGCTGCCAGGATCCCACTGTCCCTGCTGGAGGGCCTGCCCCAGGGCTGAACAGTTGCTGGTGGGTCTGGTGGGGTTTGGAGGTGCAGCCAGGAGAACAGAAAGGCCTCTGTAGGTCCTCACGCCTGCTCACACTGGGCTGAAAAAGTGCAGCCAGAGAGAGCCAGAAGGCTGGGAAAACCCACGTCCATGGGGGCTGGGGCTGGCCCAAAAAGACCTCCCTTTCCACCAGGCCCATCCCTGGACCCAGCTCAGCTGCAGACTGAAGCCTGGTTTGACTCCAAAGGCCAGGTGTCCTGGGTCCTACTCTGCCACTGGCTGCCACCATCCTGGGCTGCGCCTCCGTTTCCTCATTTGCATAATGAGGACTGGAATAACAACTGCCCAGACTACCAGAGATCGGGCCAAGAATTGGATCCAGTCCCCTGCCCTGTCACCCAGAAATCTGTGACCCGCTGCGGATCTGGGGCGGCGCGTGGGGGCGGCGTCAGGGTATAAACAGTGCCCGGGCACCTCTGGGGCTCACCTGACGCACACCTGGAGTGGGGGCTGGTCGCGACTGGAGACTTCCTTGGCTGGGGCGCACCAGCCCCAGCCCGGTTCCCGCCAGAGCCCACATTTGGGCCCAGCCCTGCCCAGCGCCGCATCCCGGCCCCATCCCTGACCAGGGAGTGAGCCTTCCTCGTCCGGATCACTCCACTGGGTGCCCCAGCCATGGGCTTCTTGGAGGAGGGCAGCTGGAACCTGTCCTTCTCCGGCGCCGGCTTCCTGGGTATCTACCACGTGGGTGCCACCCAGTGCCTGCGCCAGCGTGCCCCACGCCTCCTCCAGGGCACCCGCCGTTTCTACGGGTCCTCGTCTGGGGCGCTCAATGCAGTCAGCATCGTCTGTGGCAAGTCGGTCGGTGGGTCCTTGACCGCAGGGGCGAAGAAGGGTGGGGACACCTTAAGGGAAGAGGATTCTCGATGAGACAGGGTGGGAGCCCAGAGGCGCTGGTGCCTGGCGCTGTGCCTTGCGCCCTCTACCCCGGGCACAGCCCGATTTAATCCCATGAGAACCCCGAGGTCTGGGGACTAGGTGACCCCCATTTGCAGACGAGAGATCGTGGTTCAGAGCCAGAAACTCTGTTTCCAAGGTCGGCTGGGGGGCAAAGGTGAAAAGGTGAAAGGAACATTTGAATCCAGGGCCGAGCCCAGAAATTCTGGGCTGGAGTGAGAGGATCAGGCTCCCATTGCACCCAGGAGGGTGGTGGGGATGTGGAGGGGAGGGGCTGGCAGGACCCATGCGCTGAGGCCTCCCCTCCCCCGCCCTCCTGCAGACTTCTGCTGCACCCACCTCCTGGGCATGGTCAGGCAGGTGGAGCAGCTGAGCCTCGGCATCCTGCACCCGGCTTACGCGCCCACCGAGTACATCAAGCGGCAGCTGCAGGACTCTCTGCCCCCCGACGCCCACGTCCTGGCCTCCCAGCGGCTGGGTGTCTCACTGACCCGCTGGCCTGACGGCCGCAACTTCATAATCACCGACTTTGCCACCCGAGATGAGCTCATCCAGGTGGGCAGTGCGGGGATCCAGGGCCTGGTGGGGTGGGCGGGCTCCATCCAGTCCAGAGTGACTTCCAGGTACTTCTCAGGCAGATGTATTCGCTGGGCACGGAGGGAGGGAGGGAGGGAGGGAGGGAGGGAGGGCCGACCTGTTTATAGGCAAGGTAACTGAGGCACACAGAAGATGAGCAGGGTGGGGCTGGAGACTTCCAGGCCTGCTGCACACAGAAGGGTCTGGCTGGAGCCTGGCAGAGTCAGGCTGCTGAGTCAGGGCCCCCAAAGGGACTGCTCTTTCCAGAAAGCAGCTGCCCAGCCCCAGCCCCAGCCCCACCCCATCCCCCAGCTGCTTTTTGGCAGTGGGCAGACATTTACTGAATGTCTGTTATGTGCCAGTCACTGTTCTAGGCGCTGTGACTGTAACAGGGAACAAAACAGACAGAAGCCCTTGCCTTCCTGGGGCTTCTATGCTCCTTGGTTCTGGGGGGCGGGTGGTCTCTGTAATGAACTCATCTCTAAGTAAGAGGTAAGGAACAACCCAGTACTGAAATGAAATAGGATGTCTAAAAAAGATGCTTCACATAGACCTTGACTCTATTGACATTTCCAATAGCGTGCACACGCATGCGCACGTGCAGGCACACTGTGTGGCAACCAAAAGTGCCTCTGACATTGAGTGTCCTGTGGGGGTGGGGGATAATCACTCGTAGTTGAGAACCACCAACCTAGAGCCTGCAAGCTTTCGAATATAGAACTTTGTCTCCTGGAACACTTGGAAACATCCCAGCTCTCTCTGGGAGGTGCAGTACCCATCCTGGCTCTGACCAGATGGAGATGCACGTGACAGTCTTGTTCCCACAGATGAATATTAGGGACAGCAGCTAGTGTGTACTGAGCACCTACTATGTGCCAGGCCCCACCCCAACTGCTACACAGGCAAGAATTCTGGGCCACTCTTTGGGGTCGCGGCTGGCTTCCTCAGGAGCCTGTGGACACTCACCTGCGGCAAGCACCTGGCCTCCTTCCCTGCACACCCACGGAAAGAGGAGGTGGGCATCAAGACAAAAGCCTCCAAGACAGAGGTGCTTCGATCCCTGCTTCCCTGGGAGAGCCTGGCTGGGAGGTGATGCCTCAGCTTCCTCATCTGGACGCGGGAGTCATGACGCTTCCTTTGCAGGCTGCTGGGATTAGAAACCATGCCCAGAGGAGGTTCTGAATGCAAGGAGCATGCACAGTCGTGTTCCTGCTGACTGTTCTCTTCCTAGGTGCTGGTCTGCAGCTCATACTTTCCTTTCTATTGTGGGGTGATTCCCCCGGAGTTCAGAGGGGAGGTGAGTGCACTTTGGAATCCTGTCGCTCTGGGCAGCCTGGGGTGCACACTGTGGAGAAGGGCTTGGGTGGAGGAAACCCTAGCAGCTCAAAGGCCCAAGAGGCAGGGTCCACCTGCCACCATGTGGGGCACGATCCCCAGCCATAAGCACCTACTGTGTGCCAGGCCCCCCCCCCCCGCTCCTGGGGAGCATTCATCCTCCTGGGCTGGAGTGGCCCTGGTGTCTCAGGGGCAGCTAGAGGGTCATCCGCTGCAGCCAGTGTGGGAGGCATTCTGAGAGGGCAGCACCACCCACCTGCCCCCACAAATTACAGCGATACATCGATGGGGCTCTGAGCAACAGCCTGCCCTTTGCGGACTGCCCCTCCACCATCACCGTGTCGCCCTTCCCTGGGACGGTGGACATTTGTCCCCAGAGCACCTCCGCCAACCTGCATGAGTTGAACATCTTCAATGCTAGCTTCCAAATCTCCACCGAGAACTTATTCCTGGCATTCACATGCCTTGTGCCCTCCAAACCAGAGGTAGGTCCAGCCCTGTGCAGGTGTTAGAGGCTTGGCCAAGGTCAAGGGCCCCATGAGTCAGATTCTGTGTACCCCCAACCCCTGCCACCCCCTGAGCCTCAAGGCAGTTACAACATATGTCCTGAGTCTCACAGCCAAGGATGGCCTGGATCCTAAGCCTGGGGTTCAGGTGTGTCCTTGCTGTTCTTGACTCTATGAGCCAGTGCTGAGTGAGGATTGGCCTCAGGTCGAGAGGACACACTCGCGCCAACTCTGCTGAGCTGGTGGTCTTCGGGCAGGGCCTTTGCCTGTGCTCCCCTAGGCCAGGGTCTGTAGGCAGGTAGTGTTATCATTTCCATTTCTCAAGGGAGGACATGATGGCTCAAAGAGGTTAAGCAACTTGTTCAAAGTCACACAGCCTGGAAGCAGCAAAACTAGGATTCAGACCTTCAGCTGGCTCAGGACCATGCTCCTGACCACTGCCCTTGACTGTGCCCAAATTGACTATCCATTGTGGAGGCAAGGCACAAGTGCAAAGAAACAACAAATGAGGGTTGTTTTTTTTTTTTAACCTCTTGGTATTTCTTGAAAATGAATAATTTGACAACTGTTGAAACACACTCCTCCTGATTGGGTGCGGTGGCTCACACCTGTAATCCCAGCACTTTGGGAGGCTGAGGTGGGCAGATCACTTAAGGTCAGGAGTTTGAGACAAGCCTGGCCAACATGGTGAAACCCCGTTTCTACTAAAAATACAAAAATTAGCTGGGAGTGGTGGTGCGCGCCTGTAATCCCAGCTGCTGGGGAGGCTGGGGCAGGAGAATCAATTGAACGTGGGAGGCGGAGCTTGCAGTGAGTCGAGACTGTGTCACTGCACTGCAGCCTGGGTGACAAAGCGAGACTCTCTCTCAAAAAAACCAACACACACACACACACACACACACACACACACACACACACTCTCTCTCTCTCTCTCTCTCTCTCTCTCCCCCTCCCCCTCCCTCCCCTCTGCCCCAACCACATCCTGGCTCCTCCCCACCCCTCCTGCCTCTCACGTTTGTGTAGTGCTTTCTAAGTCATGAGACAAGGTCATGTTCATTTCCTCTGGTCCTCCCCACACCCCTGGGTGGGCAGAAAATCCCAGCCCCATATTCTAAATAAGTAAACTGAGGCACGGAGAGAGTTGGCACTTCCATGCTGAGGTCTCACAGCAAGGATGAGGGGGGTACAGCGCCCTTTGCCACAGGATGGGTTTTAATCAGACAGGTAGGTGGGACTCTTGGTTTCTCAGCCCATCTCAGTCTGGTCCTGAAAGTGAACATCAAAGGGGCAAAGGGAACCCCCATCCACTGCCCTACAAGAGGCCAGATGAAGTCCTAGCCATCCTAGGCCTTGTTATCCCATCTTCCAGAGGAGGAAACTGAGGAAAGAGAGGGGAGGGGCTGGCGCAAGACCAGCCAGGGCGTCTCGGGGGGATGCGACGCGGCTGCTGGGATGGAACCAGCTGAGCAGATCTGTTCTGCCTGCAGGCCTCTGGCCCTTCCTGCCCAACGCTGGGGTCCCCAGGGGTCCCTGAGCCCTGCTGAATGGTCGCTTGGGGAGAAGAGGCTGGCTTGGGATTGTCTCCAGTTGAAAACAAGCCACTGGCCTGTGACATTGGCTCGAGGGGCAGGTCCAGGCCTTGCCCATCCCGCCCTTGCCCTGTGTGTTGGCAGGTGGTGGCTGACAGCTGCAGACAAGGCTACCTGGATGCCCTGAGGTTCCTGGAGAGACATGGTAGGTGGCAATCCCACAGTGGCTGAGGATCATGCCCACATGGTGCCAGGTGGACCTTGCCTCTTGGGCCTTTGAGCTACGACGGACCTGGGCTCACTCACTCGTCCTCAGCACCTGCTCTATGCTGGACGTGAACTGAGTACTGGGGACTCAGAGGAGAATCACACACAGGTTCTACTGTTGAGCAGCCAGCAGCCTGGTGCAGGGGACAGACCCAAAGAGAGCCAACCCAGGGAAATGGGTGCAGTGAGGAAGGGATGCTCAGGGCTGTGGGAGTCCCGAGGACTCAGCATTGGACTTGGCCTGGGGGTTGGGGATAGGCAAGGAGGGCTTCCTGGAAGCAGTGACAGATATGCTGGGTTTTCACTAGTTATGAGGACACCAGCAAGGTTGAAGATGCAAAGGAAGAGTGCATTCTAAGCAGAGGGAAGAACGAGAGAGAAGGGGCAGAGGCAGGCACCCTGAGGGCACATAACTCAATATGGCAGGAGGGGTGTGTGTGTGTGTGTGTGTGTGTATGTGTGTGTGTGTGTGTGTGTGTTCATGCGGCAGTGGGTGGGCCAGAGAGGTCTGGGCTGGAGAGCCTGGATGTCTCCACAGGACACTGCTCTTCAAATGAGTGGGTAGACACTCAGGCGCAGGTCAAATGAACCGCTCAAGAACTCACGTGCTCAAGCCCTGCATACAACCAAAGACACACAACCAGGAGGCATTTGCCCAGCGCATAATACATGCCCAGATGTGGGCTTAAGCTTTATGTATTCATCTTGTTTAATTCTCAGAGCAACCGTATAAAGCAGGTCTTACTTATCCTTTTTTAAAGAGAAGGAAACTGAGGCACAGGGCATTGGGTCACATAGCTTGCGGGGGGTGGAGCCAGAATTTGAACCCTGGATTGTGTCTCGGGGATCTGGGTTCTGATGAGCCACTTGAAAGTGGGCAGGGAGCAGGGCAGAGCAGGGCCGGGGGAAGGCAGGAGGGAGTCATTCAGAATAAGCCGTAGGTCTATCCCACAGCACAGTGGATCCCCAGAACTGGGTTTGGGCACTGAGAAATGTGGGTGGCATGGGGAACCCTAGGGAGGCTCAGATGCCTGCCTTGTCTTATCTTCTCCCTTCCCTGACCCAGGACTCACCAAGGAACCTGTGCTATGGACGCTGATGTCTAAGGAACCCCGAGCCCCAGGTGATGGGGGCTGGGATGCTGACAGTGACCAACACCGGAAGGGGGGCCTGTCTCTCAACTGGAAAGTGCCCCACGTGCAAGTCAAGGATGTGCCCAACTTTGAGCAGCTCTCGCCAGAGCTGGAGGCTGGTATGGACTCTTCCTGCAGTTGCTCACCTGCCAGGGCCCTGCACTCAGGGGCCCGGGGTCAGGGACCCTGCCTTGAAGGCACTTGTGGTCTGGAAAAGGACAGGACTCATTTACTGAGCACCAACTAAGTGCCAGGTGTGGTACTACGGGCTTTTAACATGTGGCATCATTCATTCCTCACCACAACCCTGGGCCTAAGCATTATTCGTACCCACTTCACTGACGAGGAAATAAAGCTCAGAGAAAGGAAGGGACTCACCAAACACTCAGAGCCTGCCGTTGGGGGACCTGAACCCAAGCCTGTGCCAGCGAAAGCCAGGTCTTTGCCCACTGCCCAGGAAAGGGCAGGACGTGTTGAGGGACACAGGAGAGGCACACACAGAGGGTCTGGATTCCCCAGATGAACATGAACTCATTTCATCCTTTCAATAACCATCTGAGGATAGTACAGAATTGTTCCCATTGTACAGCACAGAGAAGTTAAGCAATTTGCTCAAGGTCACACAGTAGCAAATGGCAGAACCAAGGGTTGTACTCGGAACCATTTAGTCTGTTCTGCTCTGTGATTACATGTCACAACTACAACAACAGGAAAGTACAGGGTCCGCCAGGCACATGTAATGATGGTGGGGGGTTAGTTTGAGTGCCACCTAAGTGAAGCTGGAAAGATGTTGGCCAGGCCAAGAGGCAGAAGAGCATTGGGCAGAGGGCACGGTGCATGCAAAGGTCCTGGCACTGGGGAGGGAGAGACGGGAGGTCCCTGTGGCTGCAGCGTGGTAACTGAGGGGCAGGCAGCAGAGGTGAGCTTGGGAGGCTGGCAGAGTGGGCAGGTGGCCTCAAAATCTGTGGGAGGAGGGAATGAGGTGCTGGTGGGTGGGGGAGGGGTGGACCCAGCAGGGTGGGAAGAGGCTGAAGGAGAGTGATGGCGGTCGAGGCCAGAGCAGGGAGAGTGGGGTGGGCAAGGGGATGAGGAGGGCCCCCTTTCCATGCCGGAGAACACACAAGGACATGCAGAAATGGGCGCGGGCTTGTGCTGAGCCCCTGAGGTCCAAGTTTGGGATTCCGGAACCTAGCAGTATCCCTAAAACTACACGGGGGCACCAGAGAGCTCCCTCGGGTGGAGCACCGACTCCAGGGCGCTCTGCCCTGCGCCAGCTGGGGAGGGAACTGTGAGTGTCGCCCCTAATCCTCACCTTCCTGCCCAGGGAGGAAAGTCCTGCCGGGATCCCCAGTTTACAGAGGAGGAAGCTAGGACTTGTCCCAGGACACTCGGCAGGTGAATGTGGAGCAGGGTCTCTGGCCTGTGCTCTCTGCGAATCCTCAAATGCCCCGTCTCCAGAGGGCAGTGGCCAGAGTGGACGTGGTGGCCTGAGCTGTGGCCTGGGCTGTGTCTGGAGGCTGGGATTTGGGCTCTGGCTCCAAGTCAGCCCAGATGCTGGTCCCTTCCACTCCAGTCAGGTCGGTGAATAAAGGACCCAGGAGACGGCTGTTGCAGTCACAGCTGTGGCTGTGGTTATTAATAATACTGACGTGTTACTGTTATTGAGGGAGTGTGGTGACAGCATCTGTCCCAATCTAGCAGGCCGCAGACTTCCCAGAGGGGTAGGAGAGGTAGAAAGACCTCAGGAGCCTGACAGTCCTCAAGTTCATCCTGGCCCTGCCACTACCTGTTGATGGTCTTTAGGCAAGTCGCTGCTCCACTCTGAACCTCAGTCTCCTCGTCTATGAGAGGGCAGACACCACTTGTCTCATGGACAACGATGAGGGCAGAGTTACCTGCCAGCCTGTGGGAGGGGCTCGGCCAGTGTTGCTTCTTCATCTGCAGAAGGTGGAGGGTGCAGTCTCTCACTGTGTGGGATGGGGGGCTCAGGCTGTCAGCCCACGGACTCCAGGTGGGCAGGGCCGTGCTGGGGCTTCTCTTGCAGCACTGAAGAAAGCGTGTAAGAGGGACCACAGCCCGTGGGCCCGCTTCTGCCGGTCGGGGCCTGGGCAGGTGCTGACGTACCTGCTTCTGCCCTGCATGCTGCCCTTCGAGTACGTCTACTTCCAGAGCAGAAGGTAAGGCTCGGCCAGGGGGCTGGGAAGGGCCTGGCTTGTGGCTGGGGTTGTGGTGGAGACCGGTGCCCATGGCAGGAGGGGCGGCCGGCACACTGGGTGGGCAGGACTGGGGGGAGCCCGGCTGGTGTCGCTGTGTGCTGTTGGCTGCATGACTCAGAGCCTCTGTGGTCTCCTCTGCAAAACGAGACTGGTGGGGAAGTGGCATGGGGGCTGCAATCGGAAGCCGGGCCTCCTGGTTCAGGAGGGGTCTCTACCCCCGGGCCCTACACTGTCTCTGTGACCTCTGCCCATTGCTCCACCCAGCAGAGTCTCAGATTGGCTATGTGGCTGGGGCTGGGTCTCTTGATCTCTCTGGGTTATAGGTTTCCTTCCTTCCTTCCTTCTTTCCTTCCTGATTCCCTCCCTCCCTCCCTCCTTCCCTCCTTCCCTCCCTCCCTCCTTCCCTCCCTCCTTCCTCCCTCCCTTCCTTTTGGTCGAGTCTCACTCTATTGCCCAAGCTGGAGTGCAACGGCACCATCTCGGCTCACTCCAACCTCCGCCTCCCAAGTTCAAGCAAGTCTCCTGCCACCACCCCTGGCTCAGTTTTGTATTTTTAGTAGAGACAGGGTTTCACCATGTGGGTCAGGCTGGTCTCAGGTGATGCATCTGCCTTGGCCTCCCGAAGTGCTGGGATTCTAGGCATGGGATTCCAGGTTCCTTCTCTATAAAACACGGCCCTTCCAAGTCAGCCCGGCTGTGGTTAGGCCCTCAGCAACATCCTAACTTGCTGGATCACATGTCCCTCTGCATCAGCTGTTCATTCATTCCACCAGCAGTTGCTGAGGACCTCTCAGGGGCCATGGCAGCAGCACTGACCCAGACCCAGCTCCTGGCCTGGTGGCACTCACGACCCACAAATTATCACACACTCACCTGTGACTACAGCCCCGCCTGGAGGTTACCCGGGAGAAGTCTGCACTGGCTCTCCGCTGGCACAGCTCCACCTTGGGGCTCTCTGGCCGGGGAAGGCTGCCAGGAGGAGGTGACTCTTGGGCTGTAATCTGAAGGATGAGTCAGTGTCCACCAGGCAAAGAGGACAAGGAGAACATTCTAGGTAGATGGAATAGCACGTGCAAAAGTCCAGAGGCAGGAGGGAGACAGGCCCATTCTAGGAGCAGGAAGGAAGTCAGTGAAGCTGGAGCCTCAGGGAGCGTGCCATACGAGACGAGGCAGGGGAGGCTGCTGGGGCAGATGCACAGAGCTCCGGAGCCTGCTGAACGTGGTCTTTGTCTGCAGAGTGGTGGGAAGGCAGGGAGGTGTCATAGGGAGATCCGTATTTTTAAAAATTCGTTGTTCTCTGGAAGAAGGTCTGTGACGATGAACCACAGGTCATTGTCTCAATGTTGACTTAATGACTGGGTCAGCCCTGCTGTTTAAATGACCAGTGGCCCAAAGCCAGGAGAGAGCTTTCTGCTGAGGTTCTCCTCGAGCCGAGCTGTTTACGGAAACCACAAGTTGAAATCCAAAAGTATAAATGTAAAGTCCAACCTTTTCAGTTAAAAAAAATCCATTGTGTGAGCCCTAAAGGGGAGCCTGCCCAGACCACAGGGAAGTTCGCTCTCAGTGTTTTTCACAATACACATATTCAACATGTAGGTTGCATTAATAGAGACAGGAGGTCCAGAACAAGGGAGGTGACAGTCCAGCTTATGTTTTGCCATCACACCACGCTCTCTGGACTGCATGCCTCATTTGAGCTCTGGCGTAGGGGCCCCTCCAAGGGTGCTGTGGCCCAGGTTGAGGCCAGCATCTGAGGTGTCCAGTCAGGGCTTTCTCAGGCACGGCCCTGCATGGCTGCGGCTCTGCAGACAGATGCTCTTCTTTGTGCTGGGACAAGACGCAGTTCTGGGGACCCTGAATGTGTGGTTTGCTCCATCATGGGGCGGTTGGGGAACCACGGGGACATCTTGAGCAAGAAGGAGGTCTGTCAGCTGTGTTTTCGGAGGTCCAGCAGCTTCTGAGAGGACAGTAGACGGAGGGGCGTGGAGTGGGGAGGTCAGGGACTGGTCTAGAGAGAGAAATGGACACAGACAAGGAGGACATCAGGAACTGCGGGTGAGGTGACTGTCCTCATTTGACAGGCGAAGATACAGAGACCCAAACAGGTTTCCTGACCTGCGCAGATCACCCAGCTGGTGGGCAGGGAAGCTGGGCTGCACCCCCAGGCCAGCCTGACCCCAAAGGCCCCTCTCCATCCCTGTGCTTCCTACTTATTCCCTCTGGAGTCAAGGACCCTAAGGCCTGGCTGCCAATGCCAAGTTCAAAGTCTGTTTCGAATCATTCCACCCCTGCAGGTGCCCTCGTGGCTCCAACCTGCTCTGCCACAGTGGCCGACACTGCCGGCACTTCTTTCCCAACCTGGCAGCCCTCAGGTGCAGGGCCCCGGCTCTGCTCTGGGCCTGTGGGGAGGGTGGGCTCGGTGGGGCCACACCCTGAGCTCACCTGGGCGAAGCTGACCTGGCCCTTCCTCCAGGTTGGTGGCGTGGCTGCCCGATGTGCCAGCTGACCTGTGGTGGATGCAGGGCCTGCTCAGGAGCGTGGCCCACAAGGTGTACTCCAAGACCAAAGCCCAGCTCCTTGGGCCCATCAGGTGAGGTGGGCAGAGGACAGGGATGGAGGGAGGGTGGCCGTGCTGAGGGGAACGCACTAGCTGCTTCCCTGGGCCCTGGGCAGGCCATCCATGCCATTGGCCTGCCCACCTGCTTACCTGTGTCCCTCTGGCCTACTCATGCAGGCATTGGTACGTGTGTTGGTCGCTGCTGTGTGCGTGACCTGTGCTGGACGCCCTATGACAGTCACCTTGCTCAGTCTGCATGACCTGCTGGGTACAGTCACTGAGCGGTCATGGGATAGGTGCCTCTCTCGGCTTCACCAGATCCCTGCCAGTCCTCCTGCCATTGTCCATCCCCATGCGACCTTGGGCAAGGCTGGCCCTGTGTGTGGTCTGGCCTGGGGTGGCCTGGTCCCTCTCCTCTGGCTGGCCCTCCCGACTTCAGGGGTCCCCAGTGGTCCTCCTCCACCCATTCCACAGTCACCTGTTTAGAAGGGACGTCAGCGCAGTCCTCTGGGGAGTGGGTATCCTTGGACCTTCCTGATACTTCCAGCTCAACCACATTGCTGCGCCTGTATCCACCTAGCTTTACCTGCTCTTTCTGAGACCCAGGCATTCACCTGAGACTTCTGCTCCCTCCACAGCCCTCTGGCCACTGGTGTCCCAGAAACAAGCCCCCTCCAACCTCAGATAGCTCCACAAATGGACCGCACCCTGGGGCTTGGGCCCAGCCATCAGGCCTGAGGAGGCCGAGCTGGGCCAGCCCAGTGACCTGGTGTTCCTGGAATCCTGCTCTGGCCTTTGTCCTGTGTGCCCACATCTGCCCCAGTGGGAAGAGGCCCTGCCAATCTCCATGGAGACCCTGCAGCTTGGAGCTGGGTCCCTGAGGCACAGCCTGTCAACATGGTCCTGGTCACTGTGTACCCAGGTCACCGGCCCTCCCTCTTACCCCATCTCATCAGGGAGAGAAAGGAGGACAGCCACAGAGACACACATCTTCATTCCAGAATTTCCAGGCGGGGATACTAGGAGGGCAGCATTGCTGGGGAGAGGGGCTCCTGTTCTGCCATGGAGCTGCCCACGGAGCAACTTACAGAAGACACGGAGAAAGTGCCCAATGCCCCAGTCAGAGACCAGAGGAGCCAATCGAAATAATGGGCTGGGGAGTGCTCCTCCCACAGACTCTCAGTCCTTGGGGGTGACCCCTGGATCTGCCCCGCTCAGGAAACCTTGACCTCTGACTTCCTATCAGGTCCAGAGGCTGGAAGGTCCTGGCAGGAAGTGGGAGGGGGAGGAGAGGGGGTCCAGGTCTTTTCAGGATCCCAGCTGTGGGTGCTTCTGTTGGGCCCGGTGGCCCCTGCTGCCACCACAGCCTTGTTCCTGTGGAAGGTTTGTGAAATAGCCATGCCTCTACTTCAGGCAGAGAGGATGCCAGGGACACCAGGCCTCTGGCCTCTCCAGGAGTCACTGCTGTCCCCACACGCAGAGCGGGACCTATGCTGGGCCCCTGGCCAGGCCCTAAGGCTCAGTGGAGATCGGGAGGGTGGAGAGACGGAGGTGTAAGAACAGGACCCAAAGGAAGACAAGCAGGAACTAAAGAGAAAATGACCGGCCTGGGCAGCATAGCGAGACCCTGTCTCTAAAAAACATAATAAAAACTTAGCTGGGCATGGCGGCGCATGCCTGTAGTCACAGCTACTTGGAAGGCTGAGGCTGGAGGATCATTTGAGCCCAGGAGGTCGAGGCTGCAGTGAATTGTGATCATGCCACTGCACCCCAGTCCAGGCAACAAAGTGAGCCCCTTTCTCTAAATAAGTAAATAAACAAAAAGATAATAAGCCACTCATTCATTCTTTCATTCATTTATCCAGCTTATGCTCAGTGAGTTACAGGCCCTGGGGACGCAACCTTGAAGAAATCGGACATTCTGGTGGGTGTGCGGGAGCAGACGCTGAACAGCAAATGGAAAAATGTAAATGCGAGATCCTCCCAGGAGCGGTGGGGCCATGAAGAAAACAAAATCAGGTGAGGGTGGGGCAGGGTTGGCGTGGGAGCAACACTGGCCTGGGTGGCCCAGGAAGGTCTCCCTGAGGAGGTAACAGCTGAGCTGAGACTGAGGACGAGAGGCTGGGTTTTGCAGGCGGAGGCAACGCAGGTGCAAAGGCCCTGAGGTGAGACGGAAGGAGGAAGGGGCCTGCAGTGAGTGGGGGTGGGGTGGGGGGGACAGGCAGAGGCTGTGGCAGGAGGGCGCTGTCTGTGGTGTGGCGAGGAGCTTGGATTTGGGGAGCAAATATGAGAGAGGGGAGCCAGTGGGGGAAAGGAGGGCACGGGGCTGTGGTGGGATTAGAAAAGGAGGAGGAGCCGGGCATGGTGGCTCACGCCTGTAATCCCAGCACTTTGGGAGGCAGAGGCAGGTGGATCACCTGAGGTCAGGAGTTTGAGACCAGCCTGACCAACATGGAGAAACCATGTCTCTACTAAAAATAAAAAATGAGTTGGGTGTGGTGGTGCATGCCTGTAATCCCAGCTACTCGGGAGGCTGAGGCAGGAGGTGGAGGTTGCAATGAGCCGAGATCACGCCATTGCACTCCAGCCTGGGCAACAAGAGTGAAGCTCCATCTCAAAAAAAAAAAAAAAAAAAAAAAAGGGAAGAGGAGGAGGAAGGGGCAGACAGTGAGCATTCGAGCATGCAGGAGGCTGTCCACTTCCCTTCAGGACCCCCTGGGTCTGAGCAGGCCTCTTCCCCTCTGGCTGTCTCCCTGCATCAGGAAAAGGCTGTCCCACCTGGAGCCAGGTGACCTGTGGTCTCCCCCAACACTGTCTGCACAGGTGGGATGCTCTATGCACTGTCCCTACCCTCAGGAGCTGGGTTTGGTGGTGGTGGGGGGGCCTGGCCATCTGGTGAAGGATTTAGAGGCCTTTAGGAATATTCTTGCTCCCTGCCCTTTGCCCCTTGTCACGGACATAGGCCTCTATGCCCACAGGCACTCAGCCTCCCTCGATCACCCCTCCCTCGTCAGTTCTTCACGTAGTGGGGGCTTTGACCTATGCTTTGTCCCCATTGCTTTGCTTTGTGACTTAGACTGGGGAAGATAGTTGGCCACTCCCACCTCCCTCTCCATCACCCTCCTTTGCCAAGCAGCATGTGGGGAAATGTTTTTGGCTCAGGTGGTTGAATATCTCCATTGTTTACAACATTCTGCTTTGAAAACGTCTCTTTGAGCTCCATGATTTGTGGCTCATGCGTTATCTGCTGGCAACTTGACAATTGCAGAGACCATTCACAAGCATCCCTGGCAAGCATCATTGTTTCTAAGCACGGGTTTCTCTCTTTTTCCTTTCTTTTCCCTTCCTCCCCCCCCCCCCCCCCTTCCCCCCCCCCCCCCCCACTCCCACCCCCCCCCCCCCCCCCCACCCCCCCCCCCCCCCCTCACTGTCTTTCTTTCTGTTGAGTCTGGCTCTTGTGGCCCCGGCTGGAGTGCAATGGCACAACCTCTGCTCACTGCAACCTCCTCCTCCTGCTTCAGTGATTCTCCTGCCTCAGCCTGCCGAGAAGCTGGGATTACAGACATGCACCACCATGCCCGGCTAATTTTGTATTTTTAGCAGAGATGAGGTTTCTCCATGTTGGTCAGGCTGGGCTCATACTCCCCACCTCAGGTGATCCGCCCGCCTCGGCCTCCCACAGTGCTGGGATTACAGGTGTGAGCCACTGCGCCTGGCCTGCGTTTTTAAGTACTTCCCTGGTTTCTATCTTATTTAACTCTTGGGTATTTGCTCACGTGGTGTTAAAATCCAGGTGCCTGTGGTTTCACCATGGATCCCAGCTCTGCACCCCGGGCCCACAGACTCTGCTTGCTCTGCCTGCTTGGGGACAGGAGCAGAAGGGGGTTGATCTTCTGAGGTTGCTCTTCTCCATGGTGAACAGCTTGAACCCTACAACCACTCCTCAGGACATCGCCAACCCAGTCAGGGAGCTCCAGCCTCACACCCCAAGTTTGTTCACATCCTTCTGGGAGCAATGGAGTCCAGCAGTAGCCCAGAGGTGATATGAGCAGTACCGTTGTCTTTCACCTCCCACCTCCTGACCACTGCCTCTGTTAATGTAGCCTTAGGATGAATGAGCTTGACCTGGCTCATAGAGCCATCATCTACTATCAGTGTCATACCCTTCTTGGAGCCTGGAGGTGGTCCAGCTGACACCTAGGAGCTGACCCAGGTCACAATCCCCAGCTTGTTACCAGGATCCTCCTGACACAGCCCCACGTTATGGAGCAGAGAAGGGATCCCGGGCTCTGAATTTGGGCTGACCTGGGTTTGAGTCCCATCTCTACAAGTCAGCATTGATGTGACCCAGGGAAATTCCTCACCTCTCAAGGATTCAGTCTTCTCTTGGATGGAATGGAGATGGTAACACATAACTCATGGAATATTTACTTGATAAAATTAAGTGCTCATGGTCAGGCATGAGAGCACACACCTGTAATCCCAGTACTTTGGGAGGCCAAGGTGGGTGGACCACTTGAGGTCAGGAGTTCAAGACCAGCCTGGCCAACGTGGCGAAACCCTGTCTCTACTAAAAATACAAAAATTAGACGGGCATGGTGGTGGGCGCCTGTAGTCTCAGCTATTCTCGGGTGGCTGAGGCAGGAGAAGCGCTTGAACCCAGGAGGTGGGCGTTGCAGAGGGCAGAAATCGTGCTACTGCACTCCAGCCTGGGCAACGGAGTGAGACTCCATCTTAAAAAAAAAAAAAATTAAGTGCTTACTACAGACTATATCAAATGACAGAGATGACTGCTCAGAAAGGGACAGCGGGGAGTAAAGGTGCATTAACTGCATTTTGCAGTGTGCTGGGCACCAGTCTGGGTGTGTGACCCACGGGGGCCTCCTGTGAGCCTCACGTCAGCCCCTGGGTGGAGAGCAGTCCAGGTAAAACCCAGAAGAACGGCCACTGGAGTCCAGACCTGTGCAACGTCAGAGCTCTCTCTGGCCCCTGTGTCACGGTCTCCCATCATGTCTGCTAAAGTTCTGGGTCTTCCACCCACTTCTTTCCCCCAGTGTCCCAGCCAGAAACCTCTCTGGGCCCTGAAGTCCTGGAGCAGCTATGGCTCCCATTTGTGGGCCACATTCCTGGGCTGGCTACAATCCTCCCTGCCTGGCTTTCTGAGCACCAGTTATGTGCTGGGTGCTTCCTGATGCCTGAGGCAGGTCCCTTCCCCAAGGAGCTCCCATCCCTCTAATGCTATCCCCATGGAGGCAACAGGTAACGCAACCCTCACAAGTACACACCACCTTGCAGTTTACAGAGCCCATCATCTGAACCTCACTGCAACCCTGAGAGGTAGGCATTATCCTCCCCATTTTATAAGTGAGGAAACTAAAGCTCTCAGAGGCAAGTGGCTGCTCTGGAAATGCACAAGTCTGAGCTCCAGGCCGCAGAAAGACCCCTGACCATCACAGCTCCACTGTGCACCTGCTCTAGGACACTGGGCAAGTCTTTTCCTTGATCAGCTCCTCAATTTTTTGTCTTGAAAGTCAAGGGTCAGACTAGCTGGTGTTTAAGGAGCCTCCAGCTCCTCTCCGAGCCCATCACACATATAATGAATGCCACTGTGTCAGAGGAAGGAGAAATGATTTCAGGAGGGAATTAGCCACAAAAGAACTAGTTTCTGAATGGGGTCTTTATGGGTACTAGAATTTGGGTTGGCAGGAAAGTCGTTCTGGAAGGGAAAGTGCGAATTAAATGTAGGATGGGGGTGACGCATGGTAAATTAAACTAACAAGGAATCTGAGGCTAAGAGAGCTAAGGTTCCTTGTTCTGGGTCACACATTCAATGGTGAAGTTTGCATTCAAGCCCAGGGAAGGCTGTGCTCCTGCTGTCTGGATACTAGAATTCTGGGTCAAAATACTGATGCTCAGAACTCGTCTGCAGAGATTCTAATGTGCTTGGAGCCTGTGGTTCCTGAGCACTGGCGTCCTTGGGGACCACCCCATTGGTGTGACCACCTGCCTCACGCAATGCCCTGTGCTTCAGACTCGCTCCATGTCATCTGTGGGAAGAGGGCTGCTACGCTTCCAACTATAGCTGGAATCACGTGATGCTAGTAAAGCGACCTCTGCCCCAGCCCTATGTCCTGCTGTATTAGTCTGTTCTCATGCTGCTATGAAGAACTACCTGAGATTGGGTAATTTATAAAGGAAAGAGGTTGGCCAGGCACAGTGGCTCACACCTGTAATCCCAGCAATTTGGGAGGCTGAGGCAGGCAGATTACCTGAGGTGAGGAGTTCAAGACCACCCTGGTCAACATGATGAAATCCAGTCTCTACTTAAAATACAAAAATTACCTGGGTGTAGTGGTGGGCACCTGTAATCCCAGCTACTCGGGAGGCTGAGTCACGAGAATTGCTTGAACCCGGGAGGTGGAGGCTGCAGTGAGCCAAGATCGTGCCACTGCACTCCAGCCTGGCTGACAGAGCAAGTCTCTGTCAAAAAAATATAAAAATAAAAATAAAGGAAAGAGGTTGAATTGACTTACAGTTCTGCAGGGCTGAGGGGAGGCCTCAGGAAACTTATTACAATCATGGCAGAAGGGGAAGCAAACATGTCTTTCTTCACATGGCTGCAGGCTGCAAGAAGGAGAAGTGCTGAGCAAAAGTGGGGGAAGCCCCTTACAAAGCCATTATATCTCATGAGAACTCACTCACTACCATGAGACAGCATGGTGGTAACCACTCCCATGATTCAATCACCTCCCACCAGGTACCTCCTATGACATGTGTGGATTATGGGAACTATAATTCGAGTTAAGATTTGGGTGGGGACACAGCCAAAGCATATCATTC